TATATATATATATATATATATATATATATATATATATATATATATATCCTCCTCCCCCCTTTTGGCTGCAAATGCTGTAGGGTATTCACAGACAATGGTATAATTCAACTCTGTTATTGGTGCACACGAAAATGTAGATACAAGGAGAGCTAACCATAGCGCTCCTTAGTGAATATCCTAGCGCATAATAAACGAATCAGGTGCTGCCCGGTCTCATTGGAGGTGCCTCTTCTGCCCCCTTAGGAATAAATAGACAGGTTGCATAATTGCATAGTAAATTTGAATCTGTGGAAGCAGCGTTTGTTGGATGTTGGCTGGCGGAATGATGTGCTTGGATGAGCTGGAACGGTTAAAACACGTGCTTAGCTGACAATTTTAGTCCTTTGCTAGTCTAACCTGTAAGAGCTAAGGAATAGGTAGGAATGGTTTTCTAACAGCGTAACACCAGGCTTATAAGAAAGAATAAATTTAGTACAAAAGGTAACATATACATAACCTATGCCTAGTATCTCTTGCTAAACAATTGAAGATGCATTTCAACAAAGTCTGTTGTGAGAGCAATTACACAGACCTCTATATTTTTACATTGATTTTCATTTACAATGGGCAATGTGAAGTTTGAACAAAATTTAAAGGGCCACAATAAAGCCATACTTAATGTGGAAAACCTTTTACCACTCCCGACTCTTTCCACAAACATGTTGCTGTTAATAAACTTCAGCATTGAAATGAGTTTAGAATTCATTTAAAACGTAACAGGACTAAAGACAAGTGGAGATTATAACCCAGAACTGTGGAACTATGGCCCTGCATTTATTGAAGTTTTTCTATAAGGTGGGTTTTATGTTGTTGTTTCTGTTCAGCTTTTGGGGGGTGGGCAGGATCTCTATATAGCCCTGGCTGGCTTGGAACTCACGATCTAGACCAGATTGGCCTTGAAGCTTTGCAGAATCCTCTTGCTTCATCTTCCCAAGTGATATTATAGCCATGAGCCACCATACCAGCTTATTTAAGGGTTTTGCTCCTGCCACTACTAAAGTCCTGAAGACTGACCTGCCCTGCTAGGTTTTCGTTGATCCCTTGCTGGCCATGTTACCACATTTCTCCCCCCACCAAGGGACTGAACTCGATGCCTTCTTTCTAGGTACCTTTACTCTGGGTCTCTTTCTTTTTAACAATATTGTGATAATTGCAGAAAGCTGTATCTCAGGTCTTTGTTTAGGAAAGCATTTTTCCCAGGGCTTTCCATTGTCATTTGGTTAAACTAAGAATTTGCTCATTTAATGGGTGAGTACTTCCCTGAGCTTAGTCTAAAAATTAAGATAGGTAGGACCTTAACCAGCAAGATGGCCTAGTAGGTACTGGTGCTTGCCACTAGGTCCGATGACCTTAGATGGATCCCCAGAACACACATGATAGAAGAGAGGGCTGACTCTTCCAAGTTTCCCTCTGACCTCCACACACATGACAAAAATAAATACAAGTAAGAAAACAACTCAGGGCAAATGCCAAACAAAGCAAAACAAAAAACCCCCAACAATATTAGAAAAATGAAGGCATTGGTATGTTATTTGTAGCAGATATGGTTATTGACTCCAGTCAGCAAGTAATCCAAGGGAGAAATTAGTTACATGGAGCCCCAGCTTCTAAGAGCCTTTGAAGTGCTTCCCTTTGGAGTATACTTATCATTAATTGAATTCTTCTGATAGGTAATCTATAACTCAATGTAAATAATCTCTAAATTTTCCTGTCACTGAGAACAATGTCTTAATTGCCTTTCAAAATAAATAGCACCATTTTGTCAGTCAGAATCTAATCTTTTACTACGACAGATGTTTTTCTTCTTGCCAGAACTCAGTTTCTTAAAATATAGACAGCATTTGTAAACTTCACACTGCCTGAGATATGGACTTTAGGATTTCTGGTGCAACCACTTATTTATTTATTTACTTTTAAATGATGAAGGCAGTGTTCTGCATTAGTTTGATGGATCCCCCCTATTAACATCATCGGTGTTAAAGAACTATGGCCACTCTCCAGACTGCAAGTGGCTTCCCTGATGCTGGCAGACCTCCAAAGGTACTTCACAGTCTTTCTCAACTTTGTGGGAAATGAGTGATTGAGTACCTGTTGCTGAAGGACATTTGAACTGTCTCTGACAATCTTGGGTCTGTGATGACAGAGACCAGAACCAATTGGCAAGGAGGGAGGCAGGGACTGCACCTGTCTCCATCTATCTGCCCAAACAGTTGGAGCCTGGGAGGAGACAAGGCCACTTGCAAAAGACTCTCCTTTGCTGTTGAAGCCTGGAGCTGGAGAACATATAAATGCTTTATGGTGTCAAGATAAATATTTGAATGCAAACTCCATAATGGATGATTCTTCAGTTTGGTGATCTAACAAACCTATAGACTAAGGAATGTCTGGAGTTTTAAAAGAAATGGCAGCAAGTTATGAACAGCATTTTTGCTAATCTTAAAACCCCATTATGAGTTAAATAAAATTCAAAGCATGAATCATCAATAATGCTCATTTCAGCTGTGAGTCAAAAGACCAGGGCTCGGATAGATACCTTTTGCTAGAAAGGAAAAATTCTGATTAAAATTAAATAGAAAACTGTGCA